AACATAAATGAACATAACTAAGAGACGGCGTTGTCTTATTAGTAGTAAAGAAGCTAGACGTTCCTAATTAACAAATTAATTAGTTAGTTTATTAAGCCTTCTGCGAAATTTGACTACGTGGTTACTATTTATATAACACTTTAAGAAAAAACCGAAAGCTTATTTTACAGTTAAACATAAAATACTTTTTTCAAGCATGACTGTAATGTACCCGTAAAATGTACAATAGATAAAACGTTTATTTACTTAATAGACAATTAGGCTTTTGTCTTTAGTTTTGTAAATACACAACAATTACAAAACTGTTTAATTCGTATTTTAAATAATAATTTCACGAAGCAGGTTGCATGGCAATGCATCGTACTGTTCAAGATTACCAGATCGAATAGTTGACAGCTGCCTTTTTGTCTTTCATTCCTGTTTCTCCCTCTCTTCAAGCGCTAGCTGTAGGTAGATATACAGACAGCTTTAATTGGGTTGCGCGCTCTCCCTTGTCTATTTTCCGCTTACGCCTTTCCGTTGCATTCATGAAATTACTGCCATAGTCCCACATAAGTACATACGGAGCGAATAAATGTTATGGGTAGTTCAGAATATTATGAACCCTTGTCTTGGGTTGTTACATTACTACCTCTTAAAAGCATTGGCATTTACCTACAGTTTATTAAAAGCTTTATGTCTGGAGGACATGGTTAAAAACCGAATCAATCTTTTCATTATATGCCATATGAGTCACCTTTTGAGTAGGTACCTGAAAGTTCATGAAATTTACAATTAGCTGTACATAGCAATTCTACAAACTTCTGTAGCCGGTATTGTTTTTTTGTTACAACTCTCCTTACCTTGTAGTTTCCAAGTTTTCTTTTATCAGATGCAATGTGACATAAGAGACGTACACTTAATTTCCATCAAGTAGAACATAAATTTCGAGTCGATTCAAAGAACCCTACCTTCTCCGCTGCACTTCAATACAATTTTAAAACGGGAGACAGTTCGTAAAACTCAGTCATACCTACCAGGACGCGATATAGATTTCTTCAATTTACGATATGATTCGCAGGAAAAGTGCTAATTTCGGGAAATGGAGCGGAAAATGCACGGAGTGTTTCAATTTTCTTCTTTTACTCGACTACTCCCTGCTTGCAGACAAGTTAAAAAAAGAAAACAAATTGTAATAAGTATCTAACAACCGACCAGGACGGCGTATCTAATCAAATATGTTATTAAGGATAATGACTTAAAATGAGACTTTACAATGTTATTTTGCTTCACAATTTTCGAAAGGAAGGATTTTCAAATGTAAAGAGTAACATGGAAGATTTTTAACCGTATCTAATGTAATTCACAAGGCATTTTCTTGGTAGGGCACAGCTTTAACCGATCCTGATTGTAGCATTGTACGGGTGCGAAACATAGGTGATGTGCGCGAAGGAAAATCAAAGGTTAGAAGCGTTCGAAATGAGGTGTTACATGCGATAGAGAAGGTTAGAAATGAAGAGGTATTAGAAGGAATGGGAGAACAGAGAACTCTACGGAAGTCAATAAGGAATAAGCGAGATAGTTTGGTAGGATACCTTCTCAGGCATGAAGGATTAGTCAGAGACATACTAGGAACTACTAGAGGAGTAGAGATAGACTAGATATACTAGGAACATAAACATGAGTTAAGAAGAGTAGAGGTAGACTAGATGTGTGCTGTTCTCAAATAATTCAGTTCAGAATGTTCCAGTTTTAAGATAATTAGAGGATTATCTCAGGATAAGACAAAGTGGAGGTGGGTGTCCAACCAACATTAGGCCTGACTACCTATTAGAAAAAGAATTTCTTTTGTTTGTTTATCTACATTTCCTTATTATACAGTATCATAAACGACAAATTGTCAGTTTTATAAAGTCAATTATAGATGCAAACATGTCAATTAAACTTCTTTATTGAGTTGACTGCACACGTAATATGCGCAATCAGAACTTTCCGAGTTTCAGTTTTGATAACGAATTGGTTATTAGTCCCTCAATAAATTTACGTATCATCCAAAGTGAAGGATATGCAGTAGTTCTAACCCGTGGGAATATTTGCAGTGTGCGATCGTATATGTGTGTGTGTGTGTTATATTTCTAATGAACGACAAACTGTGTATTACTTGAGCATACTATACTATTTTATGCACATTGCACATAATCCTCGGCGTATGTATCTACGTAATAGAACGAACGGAGGAATAGTGAACTCTCGGCGCGCTAAAACACAACAATAACAGGAAACAATAATTATAAAGGCAATTTACACTGGTTCTCGCACACAAACTCGTCTCGAATTTACATATTATGTTCACGTGTAGCAAAGTATACATACATTCAAAGAAATGTAGTATTAGACTAGCACAAAAGTAAATAATTTAATCATTGGCTGTTTAATTAAACATATATGAACATAGGTAGGTAGGTAGGTGGGTAGCATATAGTAGGAATACTGTGGGGAAAGCTGTGTTTTTCTGTTGTTTTTAAATGTTGAGTTTACGTATCACCCCAAGGTTTTTAATTATCTGTTACCGGTCCAATCCGATTTCAGGATAAATTAGTTTTGACTCGATCAGGGGTGGCCGACTGTGAAAATATATAAATATAACTCCGTGGGTCGTATTAATAAAACAGGCAGTATTTGTCATATATCCACTAGAATATTGTTTTAGAATCAAAGTTAATTTTCTCTTATAATTTCTTTTCACTACTTTGGTTATCATCATCACCAGTCCTTAGACTGATTGGACACGCACCTCCAATCTATTTCATACTCAGCTAATCTTCGTATTCCTTAAAACTAGAACATCGAAAATCCTTAACAGTTTGTGAACAGTATTACCTAAGTCAGATAAGTGAGGATGGAAGGAGTAGTAGGGATATAAAGCAGAGGATAGCGCAGGGTCGTGTCGCCTTTAATAAAAAGAAGTCACTTCTATGCTCGCAAACGGTAAATTTAGAAATTCGAAAAAGGTTGTTAAAGGTGTATGTTTGGAGCACGGCGTTGTACGGGTGCGAAACATGGACAGTGGGAGCGGCGGAAAAGAAAAGGTTAGAAGCGTTCGAAATGTGGTGTTATAGGCGGATGATGAGGATATCGTGGGTAGAAAAGGTTAGAAATGAAGAGGTATTGGAAAGAATAGGAGAACAGAGGACTCTATGGAAGTCAATAAAAAATAGGCGAGATAGGTTGGTAGGACACCTTCTCAGGCATGAAGGTCTAGTCAGAGACATATTAGAGGCAGAAACAGGAGTTAGGAGGGGTAGAGGTAGACCTAGATTAGATTACTGTTCGCAAATAGTTAAGGATGTGGGCTGTTCTAGTTTTAGGGAAATGCGAAGTTTAGCTCAGGATAGGAAAGAGTGGAGGTACATGTCCAACCAGTCTTAAGACTGATGACCTTATGACGATGATGATTACCTAAGCTACCCAAGCTAATATAGATCTACCTAAACTCCTCTTAACTTCTATTTCTGCTTCTGATATGTTTCTGACTGGCCCCTCATGTCTGAAAGAGGTGTCCTGCCAAATTATTTTGATTATTTTTTATTGACTTACACTCTTGTAACTATTTCTTTCCACGTTTCGCATCCATAAAACGCCGTACTCCAGGAATACACTTTTAACAATCTTTTCTTTTTGTTAAAGGCGACTAAACTCTGCGCTTTCCTTTGTTCTATATCTCTACTGCTCCTTTCATCCTGAATTATTTGATGACTTTGCAGATACTGAAAACCATCAGCGATCATTATGAAATAAGTACATTTTGTAAAACTATAATGAATTGTAAGTAATTGGCCGGCAACAACATACCAAACAAAAATTGGGGCTAGCACAGTGTTTGCGCAGTATATAACTGAAAAACTAGAAAACTGAATAACTGAAAAACGGACCGAAAAATCATTTTTCTCAGACATGTTGCTCCTGTAAATAACTCGAAATCGAGGCCTTCTAGAAGAAAATTGTACTGAACTTTTTTGTTTCTGCTTCACCGACTGCATTATTATAAATAATAATACCGTAAAGATTTCCCATTCGAAACGGCATTTTCGTTATGCGAATTGTTACAGAAATTGTGGAAATTCGATGTGAATTGACGTGTTGCCTTCCGCGATTGTAAGTACGTATAGATTTCCCATTCGAAACGGCATTTTCGTTATGCGAATTGTTACAGAAATTGTGGAAATTCGATGTGAATTGACGTGTTGCCTTCCGCGATAAAATGGAATCGCTTAAAACAGATGAATATGTAAGTGACATTAAATAATTTGACTTGAAACAGGCGTGTCTCTTGTAAAACGGGAAATTGCGACGCGTTTCAAAACCGAACAACTGAGAATAATGTCTTCCTTTTATGACGATGGTAATAGCAAAAACGGTAATAATTCGTCTTCAGAATTCAGAAATCAGAATGTAACAGATTTATAAAGAACTAGTTCATGCAAACATATACCTAATACAATAGATCGTATCGCTGGTATACAGAAAATAGGTACAGTGGCTTTGGGTACCGTACACCCGCCATTAGAGGGGGTTAAGCTTTATGAATTAATAAATTTAGACAGTTTCTTTCCCAGTACGAGACCTCGCAAATTTCCGAGATTATTATGCTATTGAATATATCTTTAAGGCGCAGAGTTGCTTTAAAGGGATTTTACCGTTTAATGTAATAAAATCAGAAAGTGCTAGTAAATTGAAGGGTGAGTTCATGAAAGGCGATCGTCAATTGTTCCCTTTTTGGGTTTTTCAAAATAATTCTAAGACAGAACAAACCATTAAAGCCCTTCAACGTAATTATTCTTTTCTACCTCTTAGCTTGTTTGAAACCCCCAATGAACGAATCAATCACTCGGTTAGTAATTTATTACAAGATATATTTTAATTTACATATTTATTTATCGATATATGCAGTATGAAAACTAATAATATAATTAATTAAGAATAAATAACCGCCATCATTAAGATCAGAGTAATACTTCTCATTTTGCTGGTACTTTATACTAAGTATTAGTTGTGCGCATGCAGCTTTTCTCTGATAGTAAAATTTTACTCTACACGCTGCAAAAGAAATGTAGCTTTAATAAATAAGTTTTCCGGTTTCAGTTTCGATATTTTCAACACCGTTTCCGTGTAATTGTCTCATATTGTATATAATACCCGTGTACCTTGGTGTTCGACGAAAGTACGTGACCAAAATGACGATAATAAATAATAAATTTTCTCTAGAGTAGGGAGTGACTCTGGTCGAATTCTTCGGCGAGGCGCATTCCTGTAATGGCTTTCAAATATTTGCCAACTTTCCCTGCGAAAGGAAGTATTCTTTCATAACGTATGTCCTTCCCTCTCCTAGTTCATTTTCTAAGGAGCACGTAATGCACAGTGAACAAAGGGCTGCCAACTGGAAGAGCCAGTTGGAACGAAGAAGAATATGAGGCAATCAATAAAAACAAGTTTTCGATTTATTGTTACGTACAACTTAAACTAACTGGTAACGAGACTGGATACAGATATACAGAAAGGGACGCGTCCTCGTTATAGGTATCATCGCAGCAGGATAACTGAAAACGATACAATTCTTCAAGCACATTTCAACGTACAGAACCTTAAAAAACATGTGATTTTGTAATTCAATCCAACACAAGACAACGCCTTACCTCTCAACCTTGTGGTTATCCTAAACTAACTTCATCGCAGCAGGATAACTGAAAACGATACAATTCTTCAAGCACATTTCAACGTACAGAACCTTAAAAAACATGTGATTTTGTAATTCAATCCAACACAAGACAACGCCTTACCTCTCAACCTTGTGGTTATCCTAAACTAACTTCATCGCAGCAGGATAACTGAAAACGATACAATTCTTCAAGCACATTTCAACGTACAGAACCTTAAAAAACATGTGATTTTGTAATTCAATCCAACACAAGACAACGCCTTACCTCTCAACCTTGTGGTTATCCTAAACTAACTTCATCGCAGCAGGATAACTGAAAACGATACAATTCTTCAAGCACATTTCAACGTACAGAACCTTAAAAAACATGTGATTTTGTAATTCAATCCAACACAAGACAACGCCTTACCTCTCAACCTTGTGGTTATCCTAAACTAACTTCATCGCAGCAGGATAACTGAAAACGATACAATTCTTCAAGCACATTTCAACGTACAGAACCTTAAAAAACATGTGATTTTGTAATTCAATCCAACACAAGACAACGCCTTACCTCTCAACCTTGTGGTTATCTAAGACTAACTTCAAATTAATGAGCAACAAGTGCGTATATACACCCACATGATATTTCCCCGTCGATCCTTTTCGTTTAATTATTTATTGACGAGGATTTTGCTTGTGTTCGGGCAAGCACAAAATTACTTGTTGTGCCTACATATATTATCGACAAAGGTACTATAACCTTTGACTAAGTATTTATGCTTAAATTCCCTTAAACCCCTCAAAGCCTTCAATTCAGTTGTGAATGTTTAATATTAATGAGAAAATTAATTTTTTTAAGTTCTATCCACTACAAATAACTTCAAATTAGCGAGAAAAAATTGTCGCGGCTGTCACACGCTCGCCGGGAATCGAACCCGGGACCATTGGCTTTGTGCACCTTTGCTCTAACCACTATGCCACGAGAGGTGACAGCAACAACAACGACGAAACGTACTTTTTATGTCACACATTCATCGAACTAATGTACATGTATTAATATCATATGAAATACTTTAAGAAACTTTTAATAGTGGTTAAATATTAATATTAATATGAAAATACATTTAACCCTCTCCTGGAATCGTACCATGGACCATTGACGAGTTTGTTTAACTAGAATCCCTTAAAAAAGTGCGACATGCGCATTATCAAAAGGTCCAATTATCATTGATTATTTAAATAAAGATTTAAAGCAACAAAACGCTTTTAAATGTTTATCTGTTACACCTTCAAAATAACAACACAAATAAAATCTTATTGGTTCAATAATGCCATGAAAATCATTATGGAAATAACATATTATTAATTTTTCAACTGACATATTATTTAAGAGGGGTAGGTGCATGATGGACGTCGCAGGCGTCGGTTTGTAGCATCCTGTTTTGAAAAATTACGGATAGAGTTCGAGTCGTAAACGAACGGAGACGTGACTTTCAAGAAGAAAATCTGAAAGCAAATGCTTGTATGGCACAACGAAGATCATTAGTTTCTGTTGTGCATATAAAGATCAAATTCACGGAACCGTTGCTTGCTTTGGTTGCTTGCTATTCAGACGCGAACCCAAGTTTTACATGAATAAAATACGAAACAAGCGTAAGTAAAACACAAATGGCCCCGAGCCTCTCTCTCTCTCTCCCTCAAACCTTTGACTATACACGAGTACATTTTAAAAGCGCTCCCATTACAAAAAAAGGTCAATTTTCGAGCGGAGTGTTTTCGCATTTTCACAATTTTATTCTCGTGTGGAGACGAACGTGGATCCACTTCAAAGGGACTACAAAGATGTGCAAATTTTCTATGCCCATCTCTATTATGCATTTGTACATGTGTATGTGTTGATCAATTACCGGTAGCATGGGCGAGTTTTACACAATAGTAAAAGTAACTCTCTAACCGTCGTTTATACCGAAGTTACAAATTTATTTGAAGCAAAGGAAATTATTTATAGTGGAATGCATATGGAAAATGTCGAATTTTTTTAACTTTCAGAAAAGTAGATCATATAGAGGAATTGTTTCAGGACATTCGTTTCCAATAAAATTAAATACCCTAGACAAAAATTTTCAGTCTCTCTCCAGTCTCTCGGAGTCTTTCAGCGTCTCTGAGAGCGTCACTCACAGTCTCTGAGTTATTGCTTAGGGGTTTAATGGATCTCTCACAGTCTCTGTATGAGAGACTCGAACGATAAAATTGTTAATTCAGAGATTCGAGTCTCTCACGGAGAGACTGAATGAATAAAACTGAAAAATTGAGAGACTCAAGTCTCTCGTAGAAAGACTGGGATCTCTGAAATATGTTGAACTTAGAAAATTTTAACCATATCTATCGAGACACCACTTATTGAGAGATTCGAGTCTCTCATTCAGAGATTCGAGTCTCTCGTCCAGAGACTGAATATGAAATGAGGATCTCTCTATGAGCGACTAAGAGTCTCTCGTCCACAGACGCTTAACAGCTTTTTAACCAGTCTCTCGACAGTCTCTCTCAGCGACACCAGAGAGACTCAATGAGAGATGGAGACTCGAGTCTCGCTTTCAGAGACTCTGAGAGACTGAACATTTTTATCTCGGGGTAGTTTAACATGTTAAATTGAAAATTCATTCGTAAAAATTTTAAAATCGGTTAGGAAAAGCCTAAAGACAGCTTGAATAGGGTTCATGATTAGTCGCTAATTAACTGTTGGACTTCTAGCCATTGACGGGTTCGGTTCTCTTTTTAAAATAGCGTCATTTCACCACGAAATTCGTCAAAATATATACAAGTATCACAATTTTAATTTGAATTATTTTTCATTGATTCTCCTATTATTTTCCTGTCGTCCTTTTCATATTAGCTAGGTACGACACTGGTAACTCGTCAATGTTTAGCACAATTTACAGTTATTTTATTGTCTCTCTGATTTGTTGTTTCAATTTTCCACAAGAGATCGCTAACACCACCACTCGTGATCGACGAGCTTTGGATCGTTTAAACATATCCTCTCGATTGTGCTCTGTTTGTTCTAACTTATCAAAGCGTCCTTCGATAATATTCCCGACATAAGTAAGCGTTTTAACTTTTATTACATATTCATAAACGTTGCCGTGTTTTCGGTTTTATGTGTGGTGTCGTTTAGTAACTTTATAAGGTTTAACACTGTTGTGTTCTTTACAATAATTTCATCAATAATACGTGCAGACTTTTAATTTAATCTAGTGATGAAACTACTAATTTTGACGATTTTAAGTGTTCAATGGATACTATACAATCAGTTTATCGACAGCTTAAGTTTTAAGTTGTAAGTACACTTGTTTTTCATCTTTTGTAGGTATTTGCCACTTCCACAGGGATGTGTATTGTATGTATAATTTATAAGAATATAATGTTTTGACATAAACATAAAGTACTAGATGCTTTATAACGTGTAGAGCCCATAGTTATTGTAGGTATATACTTAAGCACTATAGTAACACAAAAATTACAGAAGAAATTATTTAACAATTGTCAATGAATTTAGGTTAATAATCTAATTTTAACAATGGTTAAACTTCGTCATTTTGGTTTGGATTTTTAATTTTTAGGGTCTGTTTTGTTTCGCTGCTAATTATAGTTTTATACCAAATCATATTTTCAGTGGTACAATTAACTTTTTACCATGTTTTGTGCAAGATTTTTCACATCGTAATCGAATATAAAGATAGGAGACGAAAAATTAGAAGAAGTGGCTGATATTAGATACCTAGGAAGTCAGATAAGTGAGGATGGAAGGAGTAGTAGGGATATAAAGCAGATGAGGATAGCGCAGGGTCGTGTCGCCTTTAATAAAAAGAAGTCACTTCTATGCTCGCGAACGGTTAATTTAGAAATTCGAAAAAGGTTGTTATAGGTGTATGTTTGGAGCACGGCGTTGTACGGGTGCGAAACATGGACAGTGGGCGCCGCAGAAAAGAAAAGGTTAGAAGCGTTCGAAATGTGGTGTTACAGGCGAATGATGAGGATACCGTGGATAGAGAAGGTTAGAAATGAAGAGGTATTGGAAAGAATAGGAGAACAGAGGACTTTATGGAAGTCAATAAAAAATAGGCGAGATAGGTTGGTAGGACACCTTCTTAGGCATGAAGGTCTAGTCAGAGACATATTAGAGGCAGAATCGGGAGGGGTAGAGGTAGACCTAGGTTAGATTACTGTTCGCAAATAGTTAAGGATGTGGGTTGTTTAGCTCAGGATAGGAAAGAGTGGAGGTACGTGTCCAACCAGTCTTAGGACTGATGACCTTATGATGATGATGATGATGAACCAGAGTTGCATTAGTTCATCAACTTGGCTTGAAAGCCTTTACCAATTTGTCCCGACACTCACCTTAATATCAGAGTAGATACCTAATAATTTTATATAATACACTTTCCCTTATCCTAATAACTTAGTAATACAAACGCGAATATGAGTTTGTTTATAACCATATTACGATATTACCAAACAACCATCATGATATTTTGTGCACACATTGTCAGGAGTACCTATATAAAAGGACAAGGAGTACCTTTTATCCAGAAAAAGAATGCTGTTCCCGGGGGGTAGAAAATTTTCATTTCATCTCGATAATGGAGAACAGCATTTACTGTCATTTTGCGCGAAGTATATGTTTAACCTAGAAAATTAGAAACTTTAGTTTTATGTTGATGATCCTGTACAAATTATTGTATTTTCCATGATCTTTGGCACGTATTTAGGACATTAACCCAAGCGAAACCGAGGGGAAGAACCAACTAAATAACTAACGAGAACTTGGCATAAAAATGAATGAAACGGTAATTGATTTCTTTTTTATCGAATATAAAAAATATCTGTCGCTTTGTAACATGGATCAAATATTTAACATGGTTCTCTTTTCAAATATACGTATATGCCTTTGTTCAGATTGGGCAAAGAGCCAATGGAAGTTTGAATAATTTATGGATTAAGAGGAAAACAAGTGGTTTTAATTCAAATTTTCGTACTGTAGGCGAAATATCCGCGGGCTATTTGCCTTCGACTTAAATTTAAAACTTGGCCTACACGTAAATCACTACAATAATAATAATAATAGTCTAACTCTACCCTGAAGGTCCATTCTAAATAGTAATGAAAGAATTTTTGAAATTGGATAAATAGCTTCGGAGATTATCTCCTACATCCAAACATACCAACTTGACTTCTTTGTGATATTAGCATGAATTTACAAAATGTAGTTACAATTGAAAAATTACTTAACTTTTAAAAATTGCTATTTGCAATTAAAGAAATACGTACTAGGTATTATCTGCGGCTTCACTCGCGTTGATGCCTTAAATACGTCTCCAAGATCCTCCAAAATTAAATAATTTGATAAACTTCTTCTTAAGTTCTCAATAGGATCATCAAGATAAAACTAAAAATCTAATTTTGTATGTTAAACATATACTTTGCGTAAATTGACAGTAAATACTGTGCTTCTTTATCTAGATGAAAAGAAAGGTACCCTATGTTTTTTTCTGTACCCCTGTTAATATATATACAAAATTTCATATCATAAGAACGTCAGTCCTAACACTGGTTGGACATGTACCTCCACTCTTTCCTACCCTGAGCTAATCTTCGCATTTCCCAAAAACTAGAACAGCCCACATCCTTAACTATTTGCGAACAGTAATCTAATCTAGATCTACCTCTACTCCTCTTAACTCCTGTTTCTGCTTCTAATATGTCTTTTATTAGACCTTCATGCCTTAGAAGGTGTTCTACCAACCTAACTCGCCTATTTCTTATTGACTTACATAGAGTCCACTGTTCTCCTATTCTTTCTAATACCTCTTCATTTCTAACCTTCTCTAGCCACGGTATCCTCATCATTCACCGGTAACACCACATTTCGAACGCTTCTAACCTTTTCTTTTCCACTGCGCCCACCGTCTATGTTTCGCACCCGTACTGCGCCACGGTCCACATTCATATTTATAATATGAGTTAGGATGTGAGACTTTATCGAGTTATCCTGCCAAACAATTTTTTGACGAAAAAACACCTGTAATCTAAATTATTCTATTAGAGTTTAGTATTATACATTTGTACGATTTTTGTTATTTACGAAACACATTTTATTTATTTGAAACTTTCTGTAGTTAACAAACATTCGTTTGCTTCTAGGAGCAATTACTGAACGCGTGCACGAACCCCGGAGTGCTGTAAATAATCCTGTAAAAGTTCAGCGCAGTATTTTGTCTGTTGCCTTCGGAAAATAAGGGTAGGTAATACACGAACGCGAAACAACACGAAGCAAAAGCAATAAGTTTCTACTCCTCTATTGTGATTGTAAAATGGTATTAACTCACAATCAGAAACAATACGAAGCACGTCACTAGTTCGCTTTCGTACCACCGTCTGTTTTACGTGTGCAAAACGTTAAAACGGTTTGTTAAACTCTGAAACAATTGATCAAACGTATACTATTACTCTACACGTGCTATCTTTCTTTAGCAAACATATAAAAAATTGTTATGTAATAATTATGTAAGGGGTCGGCTCCCTTAAAAATTATGTAGAAAAAAGGAAAATCATCATACCTCATTATACTTAGGACTATTCCGACACAATACCTCATGTGATTGTAAAATTGCATCAAAATCCATAAAAGTTGTTTGGGGTTTATGACGCCAGTCATTAATGTGTATGGTAAAAATATTAAGGGTTATTATTACTGTTATCGGATCGTAAATAATTTAAATCCCTTTTAGTAATCGATTATCTAGATGATCGGCGATTAAATAGGTTTTGATTTAATTTAAAATATATATGTACATAATCTCAAAGATTCATTCATTAAATTCAAGTTTTAATTAATATTTTTTCAAGGATTTGAGGGCAATTGTCCTGAAATCTACCAGTGTTTATGAAGAAGATTAATTTGAAAGTTCATTTTATTTTTTCTTTCGAATAATGAATTAAAAAATGTCTAATTTTGTCTATATTGGAAAAGCGTAATTTTAGGAACATCCTCAAACTTGTGTTAATCTCACTGCAATTAAAGAGAAACTCCTACGACTTTCTATTTAGAGCAAAATAACGAAAAAACCAAAAATATCCTTCAACAATTTTTGTGAAAGAAAAAGCTTTGATTCCTTGAGATTTTCTTCACGTATGCATGCTTGAATTCTACTTGAGAAACTTGGTTGATGCATTAGCTTTCATTAGTAGGTATTATGAATTTAACTGTTTAAAAGATGACATAAATCTTTAAAAATAATAAATATATNCACGTACTGTTCGCCTTTCCAGTTCGATTTTTGATACATTTTCATAAAGGAATCTTGATCAGCTATCTAAAAATTATGGAGTAAATCAATTTAAATGCTTAAAACAATAGAAAGAGTTTATCTGTAATAGCTTTTTAATTTTAACAATATGTACTTCATAAATCCATAATAATAACATTAATTAGTGTAAACAATAAAAAAATATTAATAGAGAGATAACTCGAGAGCAACAGACAATTCTAGAATTTTAAAAACTAAAATGTTAGCAATAATAACTGCGAAATATTCTTATATTTCATATGATTAGATAAAAGTATTAGGCACCATTGATTCTTCTTCATTCCAAGATGCAAATAGAGTCACTGGAATTCAGTAATTTTCATAAAAGGTTAACTAAAGCTTATCATAAGTAAGTAAGAGTAGAGAGTCATTTCGTGGTTTATTACTTGATATCTTTAACTTTCTCGATAACACACTTTATGGAAGATTGTAGTGTTGCCATTTTCGAGCCCTTTTCTTTTGACCAAGTTTGCACTTTTTCCAAACATGTACAGTTCCAAGGGTTTGCGTCGAACTTATATGCGCGCCTGGCAATTCCATGACCATGCGGCAAGCTGTCCAAAAATTCGTCAGAAACGCAAGTGATTTTGTTGTCCAAGAGCCAAATGGAATTAACTTTTTCCAAGTTTGAAAACACTCCGGGTTGTAACTCAGAAATTAAATTTCTACGTAAATCCAAGATATCTAACTGCTTAATATCTTCGAAAGCTTTGGGATCGATGGTTTGGATTTTGTTTTCCGAAAAGTCGAAATAGTTTTCTAATGGTAACCACCCATCCTTTACATTTTCGGTTCCTTTCACATTTTTAAAAGCGTGCGCAGGTAAAGTTTCCAATAAATTCTTAGAAAAATGGATCATTAATAAGTTTGGAGTATTCTCAAACCAATTGGGATTCCATTCTCTGATTAAATTATTATCAAGTAACAAAACTCTCAAGTTTGGAAGGTCGTTAAAAGCATTCGGTTCAATGGCATTTATTTCGTTAAACGACAAGTCCAACCTCTTGATATTAAGATTATTCAAAATACCTCCTTGTATCTTTGAAATTTTATTGCCGTTCAGCTTGAGTTCTAAAAGTCTTGGGACGTTTTCAAAAGCACCTGGTTCGATCTCTTGTATCTCACTGTAAATTAGTTCCAAATCATACAGCCGAGGTAGGTCTTTTACAGCTCCTTTGTATAAAATAGGGATTTTTTGATCCCTTACTGTTATTTCGTTTGCATCTGCAAGACCATTGGAAGGATCCAAACTGCCAGTCACCGGGCCGATTTCTAGCCGACCTTTTGCTACGTTTGTAGCTTTCACAGGGACGTTTTTAAACGATACTTTGTCACAAAACACACATAAACGGAGAAATATTGTTACTAGCACTAAACAGATTCGAAAATACATTTTGAACAAAGTAATCAGTTTCAACAGCTACAGACCATTTTAAAAGGAAACTTGTTTTTATTAAACAATGTGATTAACGCTAGATTCTTGCTAATCTGTATTTGTATTAGGTACAAGTGTATTAACTCGATAACCTTAGGTCACACAACATCGATCAGAGATTATTAAAAATACAGTATAATCCGCTTATAATGACATCGGAGGGAAATGACAGACACGTAGTACTAAGCGGGCCTCATACAAAATATAGTCTTAGAAAATAAACAACTTTTTATTATGGTTGGTTATTTAGTTTAATAGGGAGAAAAACTACAAATTGTATATATTTATTAACAGAAAAAGAAAAAGAAGGATGGATTGTAATATCAGTATACATAAGAAGGGTCAAAAAAATGAGCGAAAATGTTATTATTAATCATTTGGGTCACTATAGCCAGATATAATTTCTTGAGAATCAGTCATAATAAACGATATATCATTTTAAACGGAGTCATTATATCCACACTTTCCTATAGAGAATTTAATATGAAAACCAAACTTAACACTGCAATTACTTCATATTAAGCAATTAGTCGATATAGGCGGAGTCATAATAAACGAGTTCCACTGTATTAAATTACAATACAGGGTGGATAGACTAGCACCAACCTTTTGCTAAGTTCAGGATTTCCACAAGATCTTACTGCAAAACGCATTTAAAATACGAAATATCACTAGCATTAAACAGCTTCGGAAATACATTTCGAACAGGTACCTACTTATCAAGTTTGAATAGTTACAAACTATTTTAGAGGGGAAATTTTTTTAAACAATACGATTAACACTGTGTCTGTGTTTGTTTACTGCAACGTTTAATCATAGTTCTAAGTTGTATAAATAAAAGCCTGATAAACTTGGGTCACTCAATATCCAGAAGATGTTTAATTAATTAGTAAACAGCTGAACAACTTATTGATGTAGAAACAAAATGCTTAATAATAAAAATATTATACAGGACAGATAGTAATCCGATGTCTAACCACTAGAAGATATACTTAGTCTAGTATTGTATACAAAATAATTTACCTATTTTGGGTAGCCTAATTAAATGTGATCTCAATATTTCTTCCACATTTAAAAGTTAATAAAAGTCTCGATAACATAGTTACTGAATATCAATAAGGATTTTAAACAGCAAACAACTAAGGAAATTGCTGTTATAAATACAAAATGTTTATTACAAGCGTCAATAATTTTACAAAATGATAAGATCATATTAAAAAAAAAAACATTTCTACCACATGTATTTATGTATATTATGTTATATATAGTCGTACATTGACTTGTTACTACTTTCTCTGCATTTTACTTGCTTACTTATTTAATGAAGATTATAACAAGTTAATATTATAAATATGAAACACTTTGACATTTAATAGGGGTAAGTGATACCAAATATGAATGTGATAATTCATTTTAATTTTCTTCCACTGTAAACTACCTCAAATTAATGAAGGAAAAATTTGTTGCTGTTGTCATTAATTCGAGGTAGTTTATAGTGGGAGAAAATTAAAATGAATTTTCACAGTAATATTTGATAATAACAAGCTCAGGAGGACATAGAATACACAAATGTTTGATGCAATTATGAATTATAATGTATGCTTGCACTACGGTAATAAAAATTTTCAGAAATTAATAACAGACGACAAAATTTACTGCCCATAAGTATACCAAGTTTTAGAGTTGCAACAGACCTCTGCTTCCGCTTCCGCAATTAAGGAAGTTCCGCATACATTCTTGCATTCCCTTCCGCATCTGGTTTCGCATTTTTATAAGAGAAGCTCTTCGGAACTTAACAAAATCTTATTACTGATCTTTTTGAAAATCAATATATCGGAACAATAAAACAAGTAGAAATTTCTATTTTGTATTATTTTGTTGATATTAACAATTCAAGTGCTAAAAGCAAAATTTGTAACAAAATATTCGCGAAAAGGGCACACGACCACTGCATTAAAATGTAATTTAGAATCATTACGCTTATGTTTCCGTTATGGCACTTCCGTTGCATCGCTAGTAGGTTTTATCCGCGGCTTCGCTCACGTTGATGCCCTAAATACATGTCATAGATCGTCGACAACCTCATAAAACTAATTGTTCTATCCCTTGGGAACCATTTTTTTTTTTTTTTTTTTAATATAGATCCCTTTGTAACTGATCGATTGAGTAGTTGAGGCGTGAAATAGTAATAAACAAGTAAACAAACAAACTCATAATTCGAATTTGTAATATCAGTTAGGATTGTAAAATAGTTTAATCTTCATCAGGTCAGAGTGTGAGATAGTCAATGGGAATATATGTATTCATGTATGTATGTATGTGTGTTGTACGTAGGGTGATTAATTAAAATAAAGCACTGCGAAAGTCTGCTAATGGACTGTGGATCTATTCGTCGACTGTTTGCTGAACTAAAAGGTTTGGTTGGTTGTTGTAGGAGCCGTCGAATCCTAATGAATTTAACGTTCCAACACTATCGAGTTACGATTTATCACTTCGCAGTTTTGATCACTTCGAATTCGGTGTACATTTCGTACATCCCGAATTAATTAATTACATAGTTGTAACATTTTGTTCCTACCGATTGCCAAAAGACAAAACAATATCTAAATCTCACAAAAAACCCTGAAAATATTTTTTAATCAATATCAAGCCTAGAAAAGATCCTTTCTTACTTTGTAGTGATGTTCGTAAAACCTTCGTTAAAATTGATGCCTTTTATATATTGGACAAAGCGGCAGAGTCATAAAAACTTACCTTGAACAACATTTATTCAATTTGTCAATAACCACATAATAAATGAAGATGCAATAATACAATTTAGGGATAATAAAGGTATCAAATTTAATTAACTTGAAGCGATATGTTATTTATTGTCACACAGCAGCACAACGTATCCGTTTATCAAAAATGTTTTGTAATAATTAAGTATAAGTATCTTTTAGTTAAACAAACTTTACAAAGAAGTTTTCGTCTTTACTTTATTCCTTTTTTACCCTAATTTAAATATAGTCTGAATTAAATTCGTTAATTTTGTATCTAAAACAAAACCTTGCATTATGTACTGAGCCATTCTACTATGGGTACAGTTTAATTTCAAAATGGCAGGACAAGAAGGTCGCGTAATAGAGCGATAGGTAGTTTTCGGGCCCGGTGTTATTGCCATTTTATGTAAATTTCAGAAGGGTGAGTTCTCATCGTCTGGAATGTTCACTCCATTCAGACGTGTTAAGTGGTTTTATTATACAGAGTGTACCACGGAAGTTATTTTGGTAGATACTTATTGAAAGATAAAAAAGACAATTAACCAAATAATAGACTACTCATATACATATGTAGGTATTATGTAGGATGGCTGAATGGCTTTACACACCAAATATGGAAACAATAGAACCTAACGATTTGCACTTGGTCGCGTATGATGTCTATGATATCCATCTACAAAATTGCAATGTTACGATGATGAAGTCCGTTTACAGGTTCATTTTTAGTAGTCGTTAAAATGGAGCCGTGCACTGGCACCATGTCAATAACGCAGTTGGAGCAGCGCCTAATAATTCAATTTTTAACAACAGAAAATGTAAATCGTACACATACTTTTCGCTATTTATAATCGGTTTACGATAGTGATACCATGGGTAAGAGTACCGTGAATAGGAGTACTGAAATTTCACACAATGAATCAAAATCAATTGACTTACAAAGAACATTGAAAGAAAGTGATCGTTTTTATTTAAAACGACTGGCGACTCACCCTGAAATACTTTACGGAATTACTAGTGACCCGCCCCAGCTTCGCACGGGAGCAATGCTGATACTAAATATATTTTTGTTTTGTTTAGATTATTATCGAAAAGGGGAAATCTTCAAGAGATACCCCCTGAACATACTAAATATACTACAGAATGTCTTTAGACAATACAAACTGGCCTCCCGGCCGGTACCGCCGCAACCGCTATGTCCCTGCATTTTAAATCTGTAATATCTTCGAAAATATTCATTTAAATGACATGCTGTAAAGGGCCATATTGATCTATATTAAATGCACAGTGTATTTAAGGTATTTAATTGGATAAGAATTAATGCTGTATTGTCTACAATCGCTTCATAAATAAGTCATTATTTCTCATAAAAAGTAAAGGATAAAAATGGTTATTGAGGGTTATCCCTAAGAGATAGACATATACCATCGCGGACTTTTTTGTAGACCCTTTTAAGATGTATTATATTGTACTACATTATTTTGATCTATCCCGTAGGGTTCAGCCAGCGTTTGCAATGTAAGCGCAAAAAATGTGTTTATTTACATCACATTAGAAACCTCTAAAATTATCAGTGTTTCCCTACTATATTATGCATGTATTATACATATAAACCTTCCTCTTGAATCACTCTATCTTTTAAAAAAAACCGCAACAAAATCCGTTGCGTAGTTTTAAATATTTAAGCATACATAAGGACAGACAGCGGGGAAAGCGACTTTGTTTTATACTATGTAGTGAAGAGGTTCTCTGCAAGTTGGAATTATTATTCCGCATCCGCCTTACTGTCCGGGTTTGGCTCTTTCCGACTTTCACTTCTCTTTTCATCGCAACAGGAATGTAAAGAACAATCAGTAAACCTACTGCTACTAGTATCTATATGCCTAGTACAATATACTGATGTTCGGTTTTCAGTTAGTATATATGCTAGTGAGTAGCATCAAATGTACTCATTACGTTATAGCTTCTTATGAATAACTCAACATCAACAGGTAGATATAATATGAAACTAAAGTATAAAGCTTTGTCAGAGCTGCTAACTCATTTTATGTAATATATCCGCGAAAAAGCTCAAATTTCAATGCAAATTTTTCCAAAGCCCTTAGTTAACGTTATATATGCAACACATACAATAATAATAAAAGTAAGCAACAGAGATAGTATAATCCTTGGGAAGTATAAAGCTTTCGTAGACGTCATTTTTACTAGCCATTAGGCGTATTATAAGGCATAGTAAGCCGCACGTTTGTGAATAATT